GATGGGAGGCGACGAGGTGGATGGCGGCACGATGGGGGACGGGGAGGAGATGGTGGAGAGGTCGGCGGTGCTGGGTGAGGGTGGCGGCGGTGCTTCGATCGGATCTGGGAGAAAGATGAGACGAGGGAGAGGAAGGCGGGGGCGGCGGGGTGCCTCGATCGGATCTGGGGAATGGGTGGGTAGGTGGGTTAGGGTTCGGGTTTCTCGGGAGACGCTCCACCGTTGATGGGTGTGTGATGGATGGCTCAGGTCGCTTCGGACGGGGTGATCCGCGTGATTGTGGTTTCTTGCTTTTCATTGGTCGATTGTTTTGTGCCGGAATCTTTAAAATTTGGACCCAAATTTTCTAAGTTTTTTAAGAAAAACTACAAATCTGTCTTGTAAAAAGGACCACAACTTTTTTCAAAAATATTAGTTCACAACTTATTTACAATTAATTAAAATGTCAAGATCACAACAGTATACAATTAAGCTAGAAAATCAAAACATTAGCGGCCCGACACTGCTTCATTGCAACTCCGTCGGTCCCGACGATGTTGGATCACAGCACCGGCGGTCCCCGGTGATGCTCTGTTGCATCATTGTTGACTATTGCAGCATCACCTTCTGCTGCAAACCACGACGATCTTGCGGCGCCACGCATGACTGGTGGCCACTACCCGGCTGCCAGCGGCGCCACGCATCACTGCCCCACACCACATTCACGGCATATTTTATTCAAATAATCTCATATTGTTGCACAAGGGTGCATTTTGAAATTCCAAACAATGTTGCCTAAGAAACTTTTCATTTTCTTTACACGGAAAAATCATTTTCCATTTTTCGAGTGCCTAAAAAGAGGTTTTTCGTGAAGACCTACCATATATTTGTTGCAAAATTGGACCAAATGAATTTTCTAAAATACTAGGCCATATTTAATGCACAATTGACCAAATAGTTGGGTGTCAAAAGTTTTGATCCAGCTCTCGTGAAAAAGACAAATTCCCGCCGATCAAGTAGGAAGGGGGTCAAATTTGAACTGTAGCTGCCTCATAGTTTGCTCTTTATTTTTTTTCAGAAAACATTTCTAGGTACAAAAATATCTATTTAATCAGAGAAACACCAAAAAAAAATTCAAGATTCAACCACTAGCTAGGAACGGTCATGCCCGTCGTTTTGACCGCATTTTAAAATGGGCATAAAAAATTAAAAAAAATGGAAAACCTTCGCATTCTGTCATTATTTGTGACCAGGTTACCAGCAAAAATTATAAACTTGTAATACAATGATTACTTAAAAAAGTGTTCTCAGAAATGACCTATCAAGTGTGAAGATGAATGGCTTTCAACCCAAATGCTCAATCTTGTGGCCACAATCATGGCATAGTTTGTTCAAATGATCTCATATTGTGCACAATGGTGCATCTTGGGATTCCAAACAATGTTGCCTAAGGGAGTTTTCATTTTATTTGCACGGAAAATTTATTTTCCATTTTTTGAGTGCCCGGAAAGAGGTTTTTTTGTAAAGGATCTACCATATATTTGTTGCAAAATTGGACCAAATCAATTTTCTAAAATACTAGGCCATATTTAATGCAGAATTGACCAAATGGTTGGCTGTCAAAAGTTTTGATCCACCTCTCGTGAAAAAGACAAATTCCCGCCGATTCAGTAGGAAGCGGGTCAAATTTGAACTGTAGCTGCCTCATAGTTTGCTCTTTATTTTTTCCAACAAACATTTCTAAATACAAAAGTATCTATTTAATCAGAGAAACACCAAAAAAATTCAAGATTCAACAACTAGCTAGGAACGGTCATGCCCACCGTTTTGACCGCATTTTGAAACGGGCATAAAAAATTAAAAAAAATCAAAAAATTGGAAAACCTTCACATTCTGTCACTATATGTGACCAGGTTACCAGCAAAAATTATAAACTTGTAATACGGTGATTACTTAAAAAAAGTGTTATCAGAAACGACCTATCAAGTGTGAAGATGAATGGCTTTCAACCCAAATGCTCAATCTTGTGGCCACATTCATGGCATAGTTTGTTCAAATGATCTCATATTGTGCACAATGGTGCATCTTGGAATTCCAAACAATGTTGCCTAAGGGAGTTTTCATTTTCTTAGCACGGAAAATTCATTTTCCATTTTTCGAGTGCTCGGAAAGAGGTTTTTTTGTGAAGGACCTACCATATATTTGTTGCAAAATTGGACCAAATCAATTTTCTAAAATACTAGACCATATTTAATGCACAATTGACCAAATGGTT